ATAATTTCATGTCATTTTATTTTTTAAACAACTTAGTCCTGGCGTCCACTACAGAGGACATAGCATAACGTATGAATAAAATATTATTTTATATAAATGTTTTTTTACCATTTGTTTATTGTGCTCTAAACAGTGTGATGACATGAAAAAAACTAAATTCAAAAAACTTTTTTTTTTCTGGGTCTCAGGAGGATACAGTAAGAAATAGACCAAAATGTAATTCATTATTAACTGATAATCTTGTGGCAGTGAGTTTTTATCAACTGAAGCCATAGTATTGAATAGAACCTGTGGAAAGTGCAAAGTAGGAATGTCTTCATTTTTCATGTTCATGAAATGGGCGAGTATGATAAATAGTCTGTGGTCACAATAGACAATACTCTGATTCACTATAAAGCCACTAAAAAAAGAATTCTAAAAAATGTTTACACTCTAATATGCAGATAATATTTGCTCATAAGGCTAAACTGTTTATGTGATAAATAATGACTGATTGTGCATTTATTTATTTATTTATTCATTAATTGTTAGAACCATTATGATTACTTTTTTTTTTTTGCAATGGGACATTTTTATGACAACTAAAAATCTTTTTATAAAACATTTTGTTTTATTTATAAATATATGTATAAATATATTTACATATAATTCCATTTTTTTGGATTTACCCAAACAACTTTTTGAAATATTGTATTTCTTAAGCTTTTTCAGATATTATTACCTTTGTACTTCGGTATAATTCGGAAAAAATTTTTACCGAATTGCACAAATGATTCTGAACTGCCTGAAACGAGTCGACAGTTATTCCAGCCTTATAAACCTGCGTAGATTCATGCAGGAAGTAACAAATATGCTATAGTCTTCATTTTCTGCCTACGAACATCTACTTTGACCAGCCCTCAAACACTGTAGTTGTAGCTGAGGCCTGGAAGACTTTGCTTCATGTTGTCAACAGTTCGAGAAGACGCTGTTTTCTGCACTGCGAAAGCAAGCATCAGAACTCAGGCTCAAATTGGTACAGTAAAAACAACAGCATTTACTGTTCATATCATTGTGCTGTAAGCGGTAGACCAATCAAAACAGAGCAACAGATCTGACCAATCAGAGCAGAGTAGGCTCTCAGAAAGGTGGAGTTTAATGAACCGTTTCAGACACATTTTTTGACCTTGGATGCATGTAAACCTATTGTTGTAAGTTAGTAATGACTGGAATGCTAGAATGCTAATGCTAGTGCTTTAATTCTTTGACAATTTCTAAATCCACGTCAGCAACTTTTTAACTACCTCCACTCTTCAGTCAGATTTGTTGCAAGGTGCCATCTACTAGGACTCCAATTGATTTTTAGTGCATATTCAATTGATTTTCTCTTTTGAAGGTCTCTGCTGGTCTCATCCCAGTCATGCTTTGCTCATAAAATGGTCCTGGTATATCGGGAACATCACAGAGTTTATTTCCTGCACCAGCAGATTATGACATGTGATGTGCTTTACAGATGTATTGCTTAAAATGCACCATAATCTACTGTACATGTGCTAATTTACATGTAATGTAATGAAATCATAAAATAAGGATTTAATTATTTAATAATCCTTATTATTTTTATTAACCCTCATATACTGATTGAGGTGTGAGAGCCTTGTGATAACTCTTCAAAACAGACTTTTATACCTGGCTCATTCCTCCTTCCTGTTTACCGTCTACTGTCATCTTCCAATCAAGACAGGATGCTTAAGTCATGAAACGCCGGATCTGCATGGGGTGAAAACCTGTGTCAGGGGAATCGGAACACTGTTTCTATTGATCAGAGCGAGCAGCTGAAATATTATCTCAGTTACCTTGAAGTGCAGCACTTTGCCTGGGCAGGTGATGTGAGCGAAGAGGTGATGTTGAAATGTGGGCTCTCTTCACCAGAAGCCAATTTTTTATTTAATTGGCATAAAACTTACATTTAATAAACACATCACATATTGTACTATCTAACCATAATGGTGATACATACTTGCTGTTGTTGTTTTTTGAGTGCTGACATCTCAGTCAAATCTGAGCAAGATCTAGTCTGTCATTTTGTAATGACACATTATTGTGTTTTTTTGGTTAATTTACTCAAGAGAGTCACTTAATTGTTCTTGACAATTGCTAATGGCACATATCCATCAATGTGATTGATTGCTCATTTGTTATAAATCGGTATGTTCTTATGCCATGCAAAGACTCAATATGCCTAAACTTCTAGTTGAGAGTTCCCAAGTTTTCCTGTTTTTCTGAAACAGATTCAGAATGAAATAATAGTATAAAGCTAACTGCATACTGTGTACTATTTTAAAAATATGTGCAGCATACAGAAATATGTTTTAAAAAATAATTTGCTACATTGTTTACACAAATTCATTATGTGAGTCTATAACTTCGAAAATGAATCTGAATAATTTAATGATACTTTTTCTGGGAATTTTTACAATAATGATATTGAATAGTTAAGTTGGGGTTGAGTTGAGAACATTGCATGTGGCTCTGATTGTATTGTACACTTTCTGGCAAATATAGTAGACTTTTTTTGTATTGTGAAATATTATCACAATTTAAAATAACTTTTCTATTTTAAAATATATTAAAATGTAATTTATTCCTGTGACGGTAAAGCTTAATCTTCAGCATCATTACTCTAGTCTTCAGTGTCACATGATCCTTCAGAAATCATTTTAACATCATTTATCAATGTTGAAAACAGTTGCTTGCTGCCTAATATTTTTGTGGATATGTTTTTTCAGGATTCTTTAATGAATAGAAAGTTCAAAAGAACAGCATTTATTTTAAATAGAAATCTTTTGTTGCATTGATTTAAAATGTCTTTACTGTTACTTTTGATCAATTTAACCCTCTGGGGACCAAGGGTTTTTTGAGGCCCTTGGGATGTTTTGACATGCACTGACATTTGTGCTTTTTTCAGTTATTTATAAACATGTTAATGGCAAAGGTGTAAATTCACTCTATATAGCACAAACGGGGCTACCATAATCTTTGAGCAACATGTATTTACATGTTTGTATTTTTGAGAGAATATTATTTATGCATGGTTATTGAAAAACTTAAAAATAAAAGTTTCTGAAATAAAGCCACAAAACACATATTGATTATTCACAAGACTTTTGAAAATTGTATCACATAGTCTAGAATATTTGCTCCAAAACTATGTGAGAATCATCCTGACTACTCATTCAGATAAGTCAATAAAGTCTTTTAGAATGTGTATGACGTGTTTAGTGTGAGAAAGCTTTATGCGGGGAGGCGTGATCTCTCTTTAATATGTATGGCATTTCACACCTGAGAAAGACAAAGACCCTCCCATAATGGCCCTATTAGGTGCTATCAGGCCCTATCATTAGGAGGAGCCTTGCACAAAGAATGAGGAGATTTAAAAAAGAATGGCTTTTAGATTGTTTGGATTTATTTACAACACAACATAATCCAAAGATACACAACAAAGGACTGGTTTCTGGTTAAAATTGCTTTTTAATTATATATATACACACACACACACTGCTTAGAATAAGTGAAAACACCCATGCTAAAGTTGACTAAAAAGAGGAATAAAAAATCTTAATGCCTTAATTTAAAAAATGAGGAAAACTCTAACCTTTAGGGAAATGAATAATGTCCCTGAATTCTTTGTGAATGAATAATGTATCGCAAATAATTAAATGTTCTTCTTTAAAATATAGGGTGCATACTCTGGACACTTCTATCACACACCCTTCACCATATAGACATGGTTTTATTTCAGTTCAAAGTTAGAGTTGGAAACATCTTGAAAAGAAAATAGTCTTTTTCCATAAATGTCTTAGTTTGATCATACATATTTCAAAGTTGAGGATTCATTATTTTGATATAGCTTGCATTGGAACAAACATCTTAGTTGATTAGTTTATTGACAAAACATAAGCTTATTTGATGTCTTTATTGTGAAGCTTATTTTAAGCTTATTTGATGCTTATTTGATTTGAAAAACTTTATCCAAAACTAGTCAAAGAAATGTTATTTTATTTCGTCTGTAAGTGCGTATCTGTGCGTTCATTCATTCACACACACACACACACACACACACAGAGAAACATGATTCACAAAACAGTAGGCTATGCTATTTTTCCGTTTACAGACACTAACGTTATTCTATATCGCCATTAGAACAAAGCACAAAACACTTACACTTCTCAGCTGAATCTGTTGCTCCTCCTCGAAGTGAAACCAGCACTTGTTCTGTGGTAAATGTCCCAGGATTATTCCTCATAGCCGCGCAAGACGAATCTTAATCTGACTAAAAAATATTGTGTGTTTACAGCATTTGCCTGGGGGCGTTTATCTATTTTGCAAATGGCCTCAACACATTATCTTATGAATAGCGCGCTCTGCGAGTGGGTGTGAACAAATTAACGATAATGAGCTGAGACAGGAGAAACTGTACTTCTCTTTAGTTTCAGACAGATTACATTGCAGGAGAATATTTGTTTTAAATGTGAATTGTTTTATTTAAAAGTAGAAATTTAAAGCGTTCTTTAGACGTATGTTTCATGTTTGTGTGATAAGTATTAGCGGAGTTTCCGTTCATTTTCCAGACATGTTTCAGAAAGATTTTTGCGGAGACAGAGTGAGCTGAAAGCGCACCCTGTTTATTTTATTTATTTAAAAAAAAAAACACAAGGTTTTGATGTTAATGTGAGTGTACACAAAAAAAGAAGACCCTCTATAGTTTATAATCATGTATTGATTTTATTTATATGACCATAAATGACGGAGTATTTTAAGTCTATGTTGCTGCTATGTGAAAAAAAAACAGCAAAACGCGCGGGCACGTTCTTGGTCCCCAGAGGGTTAATGCATCCTTTCCTGGTAGTATGCTGTTGTGAACATACCCATCATTTCTGTAGAAATTTCTTTAAATTGAACACTGATGTACCATTTTTTTCCTCCCTATTCCTCAGTCTCTGTCGTTGATTTTCCTCTAGGCGTTCGGTCAGGCATACACCACCCAGCGTAAAGTAGCAGAGGATGGTGAGACAAACGAAGAGACGTTGCTGCAGGAGTCTGCCTCTAAAGAGGCCTATTACATGGGACGTCTGGTGGACCTTCAAACCCAGCTCAAACTGAGCAGCTCCGCGGCCTCCAACGCCCAAGGGGAGACCGAACGTCTCAACGCTCTGGTGCAAGACCTCAAAGAGGTGAGTTGTGTATTTTCTTTTACTGGTGGAACTGCCATCAGCACACATTCCACAGTACATAAGTTACTACACCCTTTCTGGAAGTAATTAATTTTATGAAGTTTATCTTGGACCAAAAGGTTATTTTGAGGGCAGTGAGTCTGTGTGCGTGTAGTGTGTCAGCAGTCGTTGGTGTCAGGGTCAGAGACTGTCGCCATAGTGCATTGTAGGGGGCAAATCCACGGCTAAGCTGGGGCATAAGAGAAATACCCTGAGGTCGGCACAAAGACACACTGTACACACACACGGCCACTGCTGTCCTATGAGACAGGGAATTTCATGAAGTTTTTCACCCTGCGGTCACATACCTTAAATTTAGAATAGCTTAATTATCACAGTACAAACAGGTACTCTGACAGCCTAGATTACATCAAAATTTGCATTTTTATTCATTTATAGCTCAAATAATCAATGGAACGACATCTCTTCTCTGAATGATGACCTTCTCTGGTGCGAGGGCAGGACATCCTGTCACTCACATGACATCACAGCATTAGTAAACCACAACCAACCAATCAATTCCCGATGGACAAAATCAATCCCTACCTACCTACAATTTTTCTTGTTCGAGAAGCCATTTACGCCATAGTAGGGCAGAACAGACTATCGGGACATCCATTTCATGCAGACTTTAAGTTTTAAATCATTAGATAGCCATTACAAAAGTGGCTTTAGAAATCAATTTATTGTTTGTTTAATCCTGCTCTTGGTAAATGTCTTTTAGCAAAGCAGTTGAACATATTTCATCAGTAGGAAAAAAAATTACATTACCTGCAAAAGTTTTCCTGCATTGTTTTTTTCATTTCAGTGTTGTCAAGACAAATCCTTTTTTTTTTTCAATTGATATCAATGTATGTCGATGTAATGGTAATAGAGACGTATGGTGTGTGCCATAAATTTTAGACCCGCACAATGTGTTCATAACTGCTATTTCACAAGTTGTTTGAGAGTTGCTCATCATTCCTTGAAGTCTTCTAACATTTTTTCAATGTTAAAATACTTTTTCATATTCTAGTTTACTGTACAGGAACAATATAAGAAAGCAATTCGTAGACTGACTTCCCAAAAATCTGTGCGGGTTTGAGACGGGTCTTTCTATTTGTTGACCAATGGAAGAGTATCGGAAGGAATTTTAGGAAGTCATTATCTTTGCAATACCATTTGGTGCCACTAGGTAAATTTTAGCCTTTGTGTACTTCATAATGTGTGTGGAGTATTTCAGCCTTAAAACCAGCATTACTGTTGCAGTTTCTGGCACGGCACATGCTAGGTTTGCTGTTTAAGTACTGCACTGCTCCTGACCCCTGAGTGTGTGAAGCCCATGATTACCACTGCTACAATAGAGCTTTAGTGGGAGATAATTGGTCAGTAATCCCCTGGAGTTCATGCCCAGCTCATTTGAACTGGCCTGGCATTGCTTAAAATATGCAATGAGACATCACATCCTCTGGGTGAGCTGTGATATTGTGTGCAGTAATCAATATACCAGCTCATGGGAAGGTCATTGTCCAGGGTTTGCAAAATATCTTACACTATAACAATGTTTGATCTTTTTATTCCAGTAATGAGTGGCAAATTTATTGGAGACAGCTTCAGTTAAATTTGGATAGAATTTTTTGCAGCTTCAGTGAATGTCTACACACATTTTTTTCCCCATAGACACTACAGTATAGGATGTCAAATTATATATATACACTACCGTTCAAAAGTTTGGGGTCGGTACGATTTTAAATACTTTTAAAAGAATTCTCTTCTGCTAACCATGGCTGCGCTTATTTGATTAAAAATACAACAAAAATCAGTTATAGTATTAAATATTATTCCAGTGTAAATCAGCTGTTTTCTGTGTGAATATATAGTAAAGTGTAATTTATTCCTGTGATCAAAGCTGAATTTTCAGCATCACCAGTGTCAGTGTCTTCAGTGTCAAATGATCCTTCACAAATCAGTATAATATGAGGATTTGATGCTCAAGAAACATTTATTATTATTATCAATGTTGAAACAGTTCTGTCAGTTGTACAGTTTTTTTTTTTTTTTTTTTTTGGATTCTTTGATGAATAGGAAGTTCAAAAGAACAGCATTTGTTTGAAATAGAATCTTTTGTAACATTATAAATGTCTTTACTGTCACTTTCGATCAAATTAAGTATTGATTTCTTTCCTCCAAAAAATAAAAATAAAATTCTCACTGACCCCAAACTTTTGAACGGTAGTATACGTGTGTGTGTGTGTGTGTGTGTGTGTGTGTGTGTGTGTGTGTGTGTGTGTGTGTGTATATATATATATATATATAATTTATATACAAATACACTATCATTAAAAAGGTAAGATTTTGTAATCTTAAAAGAAGTCACCATGGCTTAAGTTCACCAAGACTACATTTTTTGGCACACAGATACTACGAAAAGAATAATATTGTGAAATTATCACAATTTGAAATTAAATACAATTAAATATATACAATTTAGTGTCACATGATCTTTCAGAAATCATTCTGTTGATATGGTGCTCAAGAAACATATATTATTATTATCAATGTTGAAAACAATTATGCTGTTTTTTTTGTTTTTTTTCTTGTTGATTTTTTTCAGGATTCTTTGAAAAATAGACTATATAAATGTCTTAACTGTTAATTTTGGCCAATTTAATGCATCCTTCAATTTCTTTCTTAATCTCAGAAAAAAAGTCTTACTGTCCTCAGACTTTTGAATGGTAGCATACAGATTATTCAGATTATTAGATTATTCAGATTATTAAAATATGCATGCAATGCACCTCACGCCTGTCCTACTGCCCAATCAGCATCTAGGTTTCTCCCAAGGCTGGCTCTGTTCCCATGTCTGTTCCACACCTTTAACTCTTCATCAGCAGTTTTGCCCAATTTGTGCAATGGTGGGGGGTTCTCTCTAAGCAATTGAGATTTTCCAGCAATCTGCTCTTGAAGAATGTTTTAAAGTATTTCAAAGATTACTACACTGTGAATGCTTGTGCAAACAAAAGGGCCGGTACCTTGGTAGAAAGCCATAAAGAGGTACCTTTTTTTGGCCACTCATTGTGGCTCACCTTTATATAGATTAATGCTACAGTACATTTTCAGACACATTGAGATGTATTCAATGTTTTGTCTTCTTGTTGTCACATTCTGTTTTAGCTGTTAAAGAAGCCTTTGTTTCGGCTTTCCCATATAGATTGAACTTTGAGGAAGAAAGTGCTGACTTGGTTTCCTCTGACGGAAAGCAATTTGTTACCCAGCATTCTTGTCTGCACAAGTATGGACATGATCAGTATCATCATAGACTCTGACTCACAGACACAATGCTATTATATGTAAGGCTAAAGGATCTTTATATGTTGCTTAGAAAGATTTATCATGGCATACTCCCACATACCACCACTATAATAAAAATAAGGAGACTCTAAATGGATATATAGGATTTATTGCTGCTAATTGTTTATTTTATTTTATTTTATTAATAGCCTCTTTTCAGAGATTTAGTCATAAAATCCTTGGTAAACATTGCAAGTGTCACATATAAAGTGGACAGACTGCATATAGGTGGTTTGGACTTTTTGGCACTTCAACTGGTTTACATCTTAACATTCAGAACGTTCCCCGTGGGTCTACCTGGGTACTAATAGATCTCAGACTGTGCCATTACGACTAGGTATCCCTCTGGGGTCAGTGTTGGGTCCTATTCTGTATAGTATTTATATGCTGCCTCTTGGGCATATTATCCAGAAGTATGACATGGGCTGCCATTGCTATGCTCTCTAAACCCAGATTTATATTATTTGCACTCAGCCTTATTTCACTTTTGCCTCTTCAACTCTCTCTGCTTATAAATAAAGGCATGGATGAAACATAACTTTCTTAAATTAAATTATTCTAAAACTGAAATTGTTAATCGACACTCCAACCTGATGCAGAAAGGCTTTATTACATCTAGGCTTGATTACTGTAATGCGCTTTTTTTGGGGTCTACCGGCAAAATCCATTAAGAGGTTGCAATTTATACAAAATTCAGCTGCTCGTCTCTTGACATGTCTACATCTTTACACCAACACATTACCCTTGTGCTTCTTCAATTGCACTGGCTCCCAGTTCAATCAAGCATTGGCAAGCTTATTTTGTCAGTCATCTTTTCTTCTGAAATGGGGTCATGCTTAAAAAGCCAAATGACTCACTTTTTTCTGTTGTCCTTCCCATTTCTCTCTTTCAGAATAATGATATTTTAGAGCTACAGAGGAGCAGGATGAGAGAGGCAATAAGAGAGTATAAGTTCAGAGAGACCAGACTGCTGCAGGACTACACTGAACTGGAGGAGGAGAACATCACTCTACAGAAACTAGTGTCAACACTAAAGCAGAATCAGGTAGGCTATTTACACACACTAATTGTGAAACACAATGTAATTCTATGTGAGCAAAAGCCAGTATACTTACATGTAGTCACATTAATTGTGTCTATGCTACTTACAGAGGATATAGCTTTTGTAAATATTTGTAAATAGTTTTTCTTCACACTAGCTTGTCAGGTTTCTTGCACCAAAAATGTTCAGAATTTAGTTTTAGCCCCCTATTTCCCCCCCTTAAAATTAAGCAGGCTGTTTTTCCTACTGTAGCTTCAAGCGTAACATGATTTGTCCAAGTAGGTCATGTTTCTGGATCACCATCCTTGTTGATCCTGAAATAACATTCCTATTAACCAATCAAATTTGAGGGCTAGGTTTAAGGTTGGGGTTCGGGGGGTTACAACAACATTTTCATAATGATTTCCTCTGATTTTAGGAGGATAAGATTTAGGACTATGATTTTATAGGAGGATTTGATGGGAAAGCATGTTCACCTATAAACATGTTTTACTTTGGGGAAATCACATTGTGTGTGCTGCCAAATTACCTCAGATGTTATTGGATATTTTTAAGTAAAATTAATATAAATACACCCACCAATTTGCAAAAGAAATAGTAATAATAATAAATAAATAAATAAAAATTATAGTACAAAAAAATATTAAACATATACTTTAGTCACATTTCAGCTAAATGTTTTCCATAATTATATTTACTTAACATATTTTATGTATAAGTATATATAATAATATACAATATATTATACATTATAATATTATAATCTGTTTTAACTATAAATATAGATTTAAATGCTAAAAAGCATTTATGTCTTATTTTATTCTATTTTAATATATTTAATTATGTGCTATATTGGGTACTGAGGTCAGTTATTTAGTAAATTTAAATATATATATATATATATAATAATTGTCAACCCTTTTCAAATTTACAGGTGGAATACGAAGGTCTAAAGCATGAAATCAAAGTACTTGAGGAAGAGACGGTGCTCCTCAACAGCCAGCTGGAAGATGCTTTGCGCCTGAAAGAAATCTCTGAAGGCCAGTTGGAGGAGGCATTGGATGCTCTGAAGAGTGAGAGAGAGCAAAAGAACAATCTCAGAAAGGAGCTGGCCCATCAGCTCAGCCTGACGGAGAGCGTGTATGGAGCCAGCACCCACCTGGCCATCTCTGCCGTGGAGGGATTGAAGTTCACAGAGGAGGCAGCGACCAACGGCACGTCTGCATCCGGGTCTAGCCCCAACAATGAGGACAGTAACCGATGTAATGACTGCAATGGGCATGGACCAAAGGTGAATGGAGAATATCACCGACCGGGAGGCAGGAAGGGAGAGGTGTTGCACCCCGTCTCTGATCTCTTCAGCGAACTCAACCTGTCTGAGATACAGAAACTCAAGCAACAGCTCCTACAGGTTAGTCACATGACACTTAAGGCATAAAATATATAGGGATTGCAACAAAACCAGATTATGAAATTAAGCTGGAGAGCAACATTTGTTTTAATTAGATTTATTTGAATTAAACACTTAATCTTAAAGGTAGGGTATGGGATTTGCAAAACGGCCGGCAGATTTTGAAAATACACAACCCAAAAGGTCCTACCTTCTTTCCTCCAATGCTGGCCCTGACTCCACCCATTCGAAGAACATGGACGCGCAATCATGCGCTTACTCTCTCTCTCTGTACCGGGGCGACCTTGCACTTACTGTGACTGGGTCACGAGCTTTGAGTATGGGCACGAAGGGGTCACGCGCACGAGGGGGACGGGGGAGGGGGGCATGGTACGACCGTTTGATTGACGCACTTACAGTTCACTGATTCTAGGTGGTCTTGGAAATGATTGGCTGGAGTTTTGTAGAGTTTTTCGATTTTCATTTCAGTGCTTCTAACCCAGTGGCTGTAAGTTAAGTGGTTAGGAATAGGATTTCAAATGATTTTGAAAAAATGGTCAAAAAAGAAAATCACACACCCCACCTTTAAACATAGTTCATGCAGGAAAATCCCTAAAAAAAAGCCAAAAATTCCACAAAAAAATGTATTTGAAAAGAGCTTATTACAATGCTTTACATTTTTAAACTAGATCTTTTAAATTTTTAGATTTTTTAGATTGTTTAGAATTTTTTTAATTGTTTATTCCATTCTTTTTCTTTTTATCTGTAAGAATGACTATTTAGTTGTTCATTAATTCATCCAGGCCTTTTTAGTACATTTTTAGTCTGTTTTTGCTCAGATATTCATAGTCAGATAAATCAACGAGGGGTGCTTTGGGGGAAAACCGCTGTTATCCGGTGCATTAATGGGCAACTATTGACTTGTTGTGTGACAAGCTTTTCATTACATTTTGGTGGCATCTAATGATACCTTAAAGATACCTTAAACCTTAGACATAAACCATTGTGCATCCAGTCAGTTTCAATGGACATCTAAGTGATGCCTTCCTTTTTGGCAAAATTATCTTACCTGGTATTAAAGAGTTTAAGTGTAAATTTGAGTGAAGGAAAGTTGAATGCAGTAAATGCAATGGTCTCTTTTGTGCTTTGGGATGCTACTGTCAGGTTGATTACAATTATGAGTGAGTGCTTTGTGACTGTCCATGTAAAAGCAGGACACAGTAATGTATTTGTATGTGTGTGTGTGCCACGGGCATATTCAGCAAGAAAGACAGCATGGGACAAGAATAGAAAATCTGCCAGTGCGGACACAGAAACATAGAGAGCATCGGCTGCTTAAAGGAGTAAATGTAATGGTATATGTAAAAAAAAAAAAAAAAAAAAAAGTTTAATATAATAAAATCATGTATTATATAAAACAATATAATTTATTAAAATGTATCATTTGAATTTTAAGATAAAATTAATTACATCTACCTGTATCTGTAATGATCGATTGAAAACACTATGGCCATTTGGTCATGTATGATAAAATAAAAATAAAAACAATGTTACCACAGATAAATTCATCCACATAGTCTAAACAGATCAATTTCATGATAAGTATTATATAACATGTTTGTATTTAATGGTCTCCTCTGGGGAATGTGGCTGCAGTCATGTTTTCTCTTAAACATCAAATACATAGCCAGAAGCCTGTTATTGCAGACTCCTATTGCACAAATTAGCTGCTAGTGCTACAGTATTAGTTCCTATTTAGATGAGCATTTTACACATTTATATCACTGCTTGGCTATAATGAATTCTTTTCTCACCCCTCAAGCAACTGTAATTGCCTGGCATTTATCCAAACAAAAAGTGTTTCCTCATCCTCCCCTATATTGTTCTTCTTGGATCCCCTCCAGGAAGGAATCGATTGTGTTTCGCTATCTCAGCCTCAAGCATTAGATGGCTGACGCTTCTGATACAATGAGTGATCAAAAAGCAATTAAGCAGCACTTGAGCTCAATGACAGGAATCACATGTCTGCATTTTTGCTAAATTTGTGACAAGCAAGCTTACACACCTAACTATCACACCTGTCTGTTGAGTGGAATTTCATACGAAGTGAAATATTCCATGTTTTTTTGTTTTGAAATTTTCTATCAAGAATATTGTAGATAAGGTCTTTACTAGAGAAAGTGAATTAAATAAAATTAGGCTCCTATGAATAGCTCTTTTTAAAGGTATCATGTAATTCAATGACGGTTGCCTTTTTGTTGACATTTCTGTGATTAGTGGGACTAACCATTCTTGAGAAAATATTGTTCATTGCTGACATTCCAAAAGAAGCCTACACTTCTTTGAAATCCAACCCTTGTATTTATTTGCCACGGAGTCAAGGTTTGGCTGGTAAGTATTACTTGCTCACCTGCCGGTAGATGTTGTACATTATCTGGACCAAAAAATCATCTTTGTCCATTGGCAGCAATTGAAAAGTAGCTGTGTTCAGATGGAATAAGATAGGAAGCAGCATAAATAAATAAAAAATCATTATAGTATTATAGCCAGCCGAGCTACTTTAGTTTATACTTGCAACTTTGCATTGTGTACTGCAAATATTCTTGACATATTATAAAATGCTTGTGATGTTTGTCATTAAGTTACTTTGGATAAATATGACTGCATACATTTTAGTAAGATTTTAGAAAAAAATCTCTTATGCTCACCAAGGCTTGCATTTATGTGATCGAAAACACAGTAAAACAGTATATTATGAAATGTATTTATAATTTAAAATAACTATTTTCTGTTTTAATATATTTTAAAAGGTAATTTATTCCTGTCATGAGAGCTCAATTTTCAGCATCATTACTCCAGTCTTCATTGTCACATGATCCCAAGTCATTATAATATGCTGATTTGATACCCAAGAAATATTTCTTATTATTATCAATGTTGAAATCAGTTTTGCTGCTTAAAGTTTTTGTAGAAACTATGATAATTTTATATTCTTTGATGAGTAGAATGTTCAAGGGAACAGCATTTATTTATCTTTTGTAACATTATAAATGACTTTCAATTACTGTCACTTTTGGCCGATTTACTGCATCCTTGCTGAATAAAAGTATTTAATTAATTAAAAAAATACTCTTACTGATCCCAAAATTTTGAACGGTAGTGTAAATAAATGGCTATGCTAACGATAGTATTTTAGACCTTCTTGGTATTTGCTAACTAGCTGTGTCTTCTTGTCTACTAGGTTGAGCGAGAGAAGGCGATTCTGCTTGCCAACCTGCAGGAATCTCAAACTCAACTGCAGCACACGCAGGGCGCCTTAACTGAGCAACACAGTCGCGTTCACCGCCTTACGGAGTGCGTCAATGCTATGAAGCGCCTCCACAGCGACAAGGAGTTTGACACTGAGGAGTCTGAGAAGGCCGACGGGCCCATAAACGGTTGCTGCGAGTACGAGACGGACATCAATGGAATAGAACTTCTGGAGTGCAAATACAGAGTTGCCGTGACTGAGGTCATTGACTTGAAGGCGGAGCTTAAGGCTTTGAAGGAAAAATATAACCAGTCTGTGGAGAGCCAATCAGAAGAAAGCAACCACAGTGAAGGAAAGGTCCAGGCTCTCGAAGAGCAGGTGAAATGTTTGGAGAAAGCCTGCCGTGAGGGCCGCGAGCGGGTTAGCAGTCTGGAAGCAGAGCTCCGGTGCGCTTCGGGTATGGCTAGTGAAAGTAACGGTATGCTGAACGCAGCTCAGGACGAGCTGGTTACATTTAGTGAGGAACTTGCTCAGCTTTACCACCATGTCTGCTTGTGCAACAACGAGACGCCGAACCGTGTCATGCTGGACTACTACCGCCAGAGCCGGGTCACGCGTAGCGGCAGTCTCAAAGGCCCCGAGGACCCAAGAGCCCTGCTTTCTCCACGTTTAGCTCGCCGTCTCGCGGCTGCTAACTCCTCAGACATGTCCAAGAGTCCTCAAGACTCTCCATCAAAGGAACCCCTTGGGGAAGGAACTAAAGGGGAAACAGGAAGTCCCAACAGAACCCCCTTTGGGTCGCCAATCAATGGTTCATCTCATTCGCCCTCCCCAATACCAGAGACCGGTGATCTCCGCAGGGAGCCCATGAACATCTATAACCTCAACGCCATCATCCGTGACCAGATCAGGCACCTGCAGAAAGCTGTGGACCGCTCGCTCCAGTTGTCTAGGCAGAGGGCTGCGGCACGAGAGTTGGCACCCATCCTCGATAAGGACAAGGAGATTTGCATGGAGGAGATCCTGAAGCTCAAATCCCTCTTGAGCACCAAAAGAGAGCAGATCGCCACCTTGCGTCTTGTCCTGAAAGCCAACAAACAGGTACTGTAGAAGGTCAAGTTTATATGTTTTTGCTACACATCCCAATATCTCCTGTTGTGTTTGGTCTCAAATAAAAGCATATACACAACTTCTTTTTAGACTGCCGAGGTGGCCCTGGCGAACCTGAAGAGCAAATATGAAAATGAAAAGTCCATGGTGACGGAGACAATGATGAAGCTTAGAAATGAACTGAAGGCCCTCAAAGAAGACGCGGCCACCTTCTCCTCACTGAGGGCAATGTTTGCCACAAGGTACATTTTCGGCCATTAAATGGTCTTAATATAATTGAGGAAATCCACAAAATTATAAATACTTTCTTTTTACATACACTTTCCTGACCCTATCATTCCATGATTCTTCAAAAAATGTGCAATCTTTCTTTAAAATGTACTTGCTCTAACTCTGAAACTAACTTTTCTGTTCGTCTGAAATCACCTAGGTAGGAAATAATGTTAGCCAATGGCTAAATAGCCATTTATTTATTGTCATACTGTCGGTAAGAATGGGAGTCGATTTAGGCTCAGATTCCTCTTAACGATTCTATAAAGACTTTTTTATTACTTTTGCCGCATATCTTATACATTTATACATTTCATTGCCAAATGATGAGATATTTTTAATAACAAATATATTTAAAGATGATTTAAATAGACTTTTTATTTTGTTTATTGAAGTATTAAATGGCTGGCTGCTTTTTAAATAGACATTTTAATTTCTTTATTGACTTAAAATGTCTTTTAGTACCAAAAATGGAATCCAATAATTAGCTTGAACTATGTATTAAACAGCAATTATACTAAATAAATGAAAAAATGACAACATAACTAATTCTTTAATGTTTATAAAATAATACAGACAAAATGCATTATATGTAATTGTAGCTACACAATATCATATAAACAACCAGTCAAGCTAAGCTACATGTGTTTGAGTCACACACACACAAAAAAAACGGTTTTATGAATCGGATTACAATGGTTGTGCTGTATGTTTTTGACTCAGTAAAAAGAATTAGACTCATTAATTTTTTTCAGGTTGAATATTCTATTTCACAAATACATTGCAGTAGAAATATGCATTCCATATGCATGTTTTTGAAGTTTCCTTAGAGTTAAGATTCTAGATTACTCATTTCTTAATTCTTGTACAGCAGTGGCTCTGAACCATTTTGACTCCATGGGCCCCCATTGTCCACAACAATATTCAAATTCCCCATGATTTTTCCAATTGTTTCTGATTTACTGGATAAGAATTAAGGAGAATGATTTGTAAAAAATATTTTATAAATCACAATTTCTACTCTACAGCTTCTAATGTATATTCATTATAAAAATGTCCTTGTTTTCTTTCTTTTTTATTAACATGACTTTTACAGGTGTAAAAATCACTTCTATAAAATATCCTATTCTATTACTATTACTAACTATTCTATATGTGAATCTTGTACTTCATTAAAAAAAAGTTTTTGATCGGGTGAATTAAAATAATAAATATCTAAAAGCTTGTTTTGTCTTCAATCATTAAATCATTTCTAAGGCCCCCAGATTGAGAACCACTGTTGTACAACGTGTTCTGATGTTTTATGTTTAATCACTCCGAGTCATTTTGAGGTTCTCTCTCCCTCTTTCTCTAGATGTGACGAGTACGTAACTCAACTAGATGAGATGCAGAGGCAGCTGGCTGCCGCTGAAGATGAAAAGAAGACTCTGAACTCCCTCCTGCGAATGGCCATTCAGCAGAAACTGGCCCTCACACAACGCCTGGAGGACCTGGAGTTTGACCACGAGCAGTCGTACTGTGGCCGTGGAGGGAAAGTGCCAAGAATTAAGAGCAGCCCTCAAAAAGTAAGTCATCGAACTGCACTCACTGCTCCCCCTAGTCCCACTGCATCGGTTTCAAAACCTCCTTCCTGTCTATTCCAAAACAATACGGTTGCATCAGCCTGTAGCTCTCCTTCACTTGATGTTCCTTCTCCATCCTCCTCCTGGACCTCCTCAGCCCAGCCGTTTTTCCTCGGCCAGTCGCAGTGGAACCTAGGCACTCAGACTTTGGTCTTAGACCCAGAGACGTTGAGTATAGAGTTTTGTCATATTGTTCATAGTGGAGACTCTGGCCAATCTGATACTCATGTTCCCAGGTCTGCTCCGACTTCCCCTTACCGTTCTCTTGTCCTGGGCGCTCGCCAACCGTCGCCACGTTCCGTGAGATCTCGCAAGCGCTCCAATGCGACTCAGTTCACGCCTTCGACCGCTTCAAGAAACTCTCTAGTCCAGCCTGGGATTCCCAGAATCCCTAGTACTGACCCTCAGTAGGTGACACAGTTTAAGGACAGACTGGTTTCCATCTTGAATGAATGTTTGATTCAACTCAGGGATTTAATTGATACTACTTGAAATTTCAACAATTATGTTTTGCTAACTCTAGATACATTTGGGTCACATCATGGCTTTGTGGGATGGTACTTATTAATATAATGATGTATAAAAATATAAGATTAAATCAAAGAAATTGCACTACCTGTGTTTGATGTATTATTATTTTTGCGGACTGGGTAAGAAAACAGGTTTTTCCAAGCATAATTGCTGGAATCTGCATCAGTAATGCATTCGGATCATATTGGAAGAACTATTCCTTAAAGCGAAACAGGTATTGATTGGTGCATGTATCTGTTGGAATATCATCCCTGCATGTGTGCTTCCATTTCATGGCTCGATGAAATGGGTGCTACATACTGCATGCCAAGCAGTTAGTTTGTGTGATGGAGTTTTCAGTTGTTTTTTTGCTTTAGCAAACAGCACATCTGACATAACTATAGCTCCATCCACTGGTGACAGTGTGCATTTCAGGATAGAACAGTTACCTTTGCATTTATATCTAAGTAGCATCAGTCTTGAAGCTTTGTGAGTGTTTCAAAGTGATTTATACAGGAATCATGAGCAGTAGCCTATCTATAATCATATTAAACCTGTTCTAAAGATAAATTCAAACTCCTGTGCCAGCAGAAAATGCTCAGATCCCAAGGCACCCTGTATGATAAAATGTGCCAGAGAGAGCTGTTCTATTCATGGACGCGGCATATGGCAGTGCAGGATCTGCCATATGCAAATGCAGGGATGGGTTCTTGCATATTATGCTGCCTGCTGCCCAGCTACTGCATTTCACTGAGCTGTAGAGTACAGGCTACAGAGCCGCATCAAATGTGTCATTCATTCATGAGTCATTCTATGAAACTGGTGCCTTTTCAAGTTTGATAAGGATTTTAAGTAAATTTCTTAATTATTTTAAACATTCTCTCATTCTCATGTGTTTAAGTTTTAAACAAATGGATTGTGCCATCTCAAGCTAAATGTATGAATTTTAATGTATTTTAACAAGGTTAAAGGGTTAGTTAGTTCACCCAAAAATGAAAATTAATTTCATTAATTACTCACGCTCATGTCGTTCCAAACACATAAGACTTTCATTCATCTTCGGAACACAAATGAAGATCTTTTTGATGAAATCTGAGAGCTTTGTCCTTCCATTGACAAGCTACGCAACTATCACTTTGATGCTTCACAAAGTTAATAAAGAGATCGTAAAAATATGAATTGGGTGCTTTAGCCCAAATATGATGAACATAAACATTCATCAACTCACACATCAGTTGTGGTAAACGAGGCTCAAGCATGTACGCTTGATGTGCGAGAACCAATGAGGTTTGTTCTCACGCATCAAGCAGGTTCGTTTGAGCTTCTGTTTATGTTCGCTGATCAATGTTTATATTTATATTACTGTATATTTTTTTTACTTAAATCAATAAATATTAAATAAATGCAATCCCATTAATCCTCCATCCTTTCAGGAAATGAACCCTTCTTGTCCACTCACTCATTTATTAACTAAAATCTAAAAATATAGAGAGAATTGCTAACTTTTATTTACATATTTCTTCATCAAAATGTGAATATTTGCTAATGTAGCAAGGAGAATGCCAGAAAAGCATTCTTGTGACAAAAGAAACAAAAACAAGTTTCAAAATTTGCAACAAATAATGGATGACAACTTTTACTGTCATATATAATACAAAAATGGCACTCGCTTTTTAGAATGACCTTTGTTTAAGGAGCTGTGGGCCAAAAAGCATTTGACAAGTCGAAGGTTCAGAACATCAGAACATCTGTGTTACTATTGCTCAATCAAGACTGACCAAGATACCACAGTTCTGTGTTATCATGTTATCATGCAGTTCTGATGGTAGACAGCGGTTACATTTACATGTAAAGACAAGCCTTTGAAAAAGAGAGGTGTTTTTCCTAGGAGTGATCAGAGATTTCAGGTCTAGTTTCGTTTTCTAATATTGCTGTTTCCTGTGCCTTGCTTAAACTTATGTGATGTGTATTGTGCATAATGTGACTCAGTAGATAGTGTTTGTAAATCACAGAGTTCTATTGTAGTGTAATGGAAACCAGTCTGATCCGCTTCACCTGTGTCACCTTGATGTAATATGTCACTACAGTATGTCAAATAAACCAATCACATTCATGCTCTAGCAGCGTAACACTTTTATAAATAGATTACAACAGTGAAGATACCCCGTATCATAAAAACACTTTTTATTATTCCTGGTAATGATGCCCCTTAAAGGACAACTCCGGCACAAAATGAACCTCAGGTGTAATAACACATTGGTACAGACTAAATCGTTCCCTGAGATTTGTTTTCATGATAATCGAATATAAAGAGTTTTATCTCTAAAAACAGTTTAGCTTATAACGCTAGTATATTGGGCATCGAGTAAGCAAAAAGAGATCGCTAGTTAATACCATTAACAAGGCTCAAATTAGCCCCACACTAACACGGCAGCATAATGAGTGTCCTTACATGCAAACCGAAGCATTGAGAACTTTGTAAGTGTATAGACAGTTTAATAAGAAGATACTTTACACAGACAGTACAGTTAGCGCATATAGACAGCAGCCATCTTGGAAAACAGTCTCGATCAATAGAACCACGAAGGTGAGCGAACAGTACGTGTAGATATTGAAGATAAGATAAATTATATTTATTTTTTTATTTTCTCTGTTGCGTTCAGTGCTTCTCTTATGCGCTCAGTGCTTTCTTCCGGAAACAACGGACCATATGAGATTCCAAGTCACAGTTCAGCTCACGTATCACCGTGTTCGTGGTTCTATTGATCGAGACTGTTTTCCAAGATGGCTGCTGTCTGTATGTGCTAACTGTACTGTCTGTGTAAAGTATCTTCTTATTAAACTGTCTATACACTTACAAAGTTCTCAATGCTTCGGTTTGCATGTAAGGACACTCATTATGCTGCCGTGTTAGTGTGGGGCTAATTTGAGCCTTGTTAATGGTATTAACTAGCGATCTCTTTTTGCTTACTCGATGCCCAATATACTAGCGTTATAAGCTAAACTGTTTTTAGAGATAAAACTCTTTACATTCGATTATCATGAAAACAAATCTCAGGGAACGATTTAGTCTGTACCAATGTGTTATTACACCCGAGGTTCATTTTGCACCGGAGTTGTCCTTTAAAGAGCAGTGGACGTTTCCAATCTCTGCCTGCAGGTGTCAGTGTTTCTAAATTTCACAACCTTTGCCCATTACTGAACGTGTCAAATGCTGTTTTGCCCATGTAAATCAAACCACAGAGCAGTAGTAGTTCTTTTTTTTTCATATTGGGGCTGTAGATGTGATTGTTTGCAGTATGGAGATGGTTATGTCAGTAATGCATTTATACAAACAACCACCCATTCCAACCTAACAAGTGCATAGCAATGTTTTCAAAAATGTATAATGCCTGGGCAGTTGCATAGCAGTGCCCTGACAACCACACATAAAACCCTAGCATCATGACGACGAGTTTTGCACAAGAACTACTCACAATGAAATGGGGAGAGAAAAAATATTATTTAAATGTCTACATATTGCTCTAGATGTTTATATGTGCTCTTCGGGTTGGCTAGACAGCATCCCCTATAATGTTTTAAACCTTACTTTTTGTCTTGTTAAATGTGTAAACGTGTGTGTATGCACTCTCTCATTAACAAAGCTGCAACACTGTAGTATATCATTTGTGCAGTCTATGTTTGTGCCTGATATTTAAAAGTTTGGAGTCTGTAAGATTTTTTTTTTATTAAAGAAACTAATACATTTAAGATGCACTAAATAAATTGAAATCGACAGTAAGGACATTTGTTGAATATACAACATACTGTTGAATATGAACTTTCTATTCATCAAAGAATCCTGAAAAAAAAGGATCAGTTTCCACAAAAATACTATGCAGCACAACTGTTTTCAACATTGCTAAGCAATGTTTCTTGAGCAGCAAATCAACATCAGAATGATTTCTGAAGGATCATGTGACACTGAAGACTGGAGTAATGATGCTGAAAATTCAGCTTTACCATCACAGCAATAAATTATATTTTAAAATAGTAAATGGTTATTTTAATTTGTAATAATATTTCACAATTTAACTGTTTTTTACTGCATTTTTAATCAAACAAATACAGCATTAATGAGCATAAGGACTTCTTTCAAAAACATTAAAAAAATCTTACCGACCCCAAACTTTTGAACGATAGTGTTTCTCTGTTTAACAGAAGGTGATACCACCTTGCTTTCCTTCTATCTTTGTACCTGGTGTTCCTCATGAATTTACGCAAATATTATATAGATGTTAGTTATTATAGCAGTTCATAATATTGTGTTACTTTCTATCATTCCACTTGCTCTGCATGAGATTAACACATAGAATCACACCCATGCTTGTTAGGCCATAGCAACTATTTTCAGCGTATTCACTTCTCGTCTCTGTGCCCATTTATGTCTGTGTTTGTCTCACTAACCCTGACTGTCACACCTCTGTATATCTGTCTAATTTATCAGTCTCTCTTAGATTGTCAGCAGCCTTCTGCCTCAGTACCGCCAACCTCCCCACAACTGAGGCGCGGGAGGGCATCTACGGGCCACAGGTAACCCGTCCTTTGGAGGAACTCGCTCTATACTGCGTCCTCTCTCACTCTATTTCTCACAGAGAAAAATGTCACACCTACTGTATAGGGTCATGCAGTCACAAGTATTGTTAACAGCACCACCCACTTGGTCACACTTTTACAGTGCAATTGAAAAACACCACTGATTAAAAGTTTTGAATAATTACGATTTTTTTATGATCCTCCAGAAATCATTCTAATATGCTGATTTGGTGCTTAAGATTTTTTTTTAATCATTATCAATGTTGAGAAAAATTGAAACCTTGATACACTACCATTTAAAAGTTTTACAGTTAAAAAAATGATTTTATTAAGCAAGGATGCATGAAATTGTTTAAAAAGTGACACTTAACACATTTATAAAGTTACAAAAGGTTTCTACTTTAACACTGATAATAATTAGAACCATTATTATTAACTGAGCACCAACAACAAATGCACCAAATCAGCCTATTAGAATGATTTCTGAAGGATCATGTGACACTGAAGTCTGGAGTAATGGCTGCTGGAAATTCAGCTTTAACATAATATATATTTAAATACAGAACAGCACATAAATGCTGCCTTGGTGAGTCGTCACCATTTTAAGTGAGAAGTCACTTTAAATGTTAAAGTGACTTCTTTAACATTTAAACATTTTAATTATTCCAAACTTTTGACCGGTAGTGTATGCAAATAAAAAATGAAGATGCCCTCTCATCCCTGTGCCGATGAGATTCCTGAATCCTTTCTTTCCAAATACTTTGCCTGCTTAAAAGCTACTAGCTTTTGCATGTGCCCCTGTGTGTCTGTCAAAAGTGAGTTAATGCTTATGTCAGAGCTATACTGAATTATTGACATGCTTCTTTTTCTATAGCAATTCCTCCAGTTTAACAGGGAACAGGATATGGCGATTTCATTTTACACCAACTTATGGTCTCTGTTTCTCTTTTTTCTCTCTTCTGGCTGTGCCGTTTGTCTCTTGGTAGTCCTAATGTGTTGTTATCTCTTCAAGAGGACCAGATACCTGCGGCTAACTCCAGACTTCCATGTGACCCTTTCAACTGTCTGGCCCATCATTCTCATCTTTTTGGCCCTTAGCCTCCTGTCAATCAACTATCAGTGGCCTATCCTTACAGAGACAAAGGAAGGGGGCGGGGCACATCAGTCAATCATGACCTCCCAGCCAATCAGATGCCCCTCTCCATGTGTGATTGATCCCAGAGGAGCCCAATCTAATTTCTCTCCCAATCACTGAGATTGGATGATTATTCAATGGTGCTTAAAGTACTAATTATCATGTTGAGTGAGATGAGAGCAAACGGAAATGGATTGATGCACTTATTTATCTATTTTTTTATTTTATTTAATTTATTTGTGTTTTTGTTTGTTTATTTTTAAATATTATTTGTGTTATGTCTGATTATTTGGATATGAATATGGTTTTGGATACGAATACAGCTTTGCTTGAAAATTCACTTTTAAACCACAGAAATAATGTTAATTACATCAACCCAGGAGTACATTGCAGTATGAAAGGCCACTTAAGCACCATTATCAGTCTAAGCTAATATTTGACTTTCAAAACGGACAAAAAAAGTGTGACATAATAGAAAGAGATGTTTGAATGGTTGAATATAGGTGATACTGGTTAAATGGACTATTGAGATATAACTTTCAACAAGTAGAAACAATGTTCAATGTGATATTTGAGTGACTTTTATTTCGACCTTTAAGCTCCTGAGGTGATGTTTGCATTTCAGTGATAATACAATTGAGTTTTCAGCTGCTTTAACGTAATTCCACATGAAACATGTTGTCCTTTTATAACCGTTTATTGCTCTGCATATGCATAAAGATTATATTTTATACCTTAATTGTTTTTTTCTATCGATGAAGTGATGTCAGATAAGTCTTTGAGGTTTGAGTGGACATGTAGGCCTAGTTTAGGACCTGATGGGCAAAAATCATGTTTAAGGAAGTGGCGCTATAGCTTGAATGGGGCTTGATCCCAGTGCGCTGCTAAATTTGTACATGAAGTGGGTTTATTACTCTCAGATCTGCTCCATAAACAGCATACATATTAGTATCCCATATTCAGAATCTCTCTTTACATACAGTATCTCCTCCTCTCTCGGTTTTATTTTCTCTTTAAGTTATATCTAATCTTGACCTTATATAAAGCACAAACATATCTATGCATTTTGAAACAGGCACAGGATCATTTTAAATCATTTGGTCATCTCTCCTCCAATCACAAAGTGATTTGTACCAGCAGGATTAAATATCAGATGTCATTGTTTTTATACAGCAGTAAACCACAAAAACACATTTTCAGTCTCATTGATTGACTGAAAGGTTATTAATGTGTCTAAATGAAGAATACAATCAGCAGCTTCTCAAAGCATAACTATCTCCATTGTGGAACTAGAACAAAGCTCAGTCTATGTAATGACATACAAAGAACGATTTAAGATAAATGGTCTCATTCACAATCTCTTTTAGCTCCCAGTTCTCAGTTTCTGTTCAGTCTAACCCATTCATTTGGTGTTTTAGACTATATTCATTTCTTTTCGAGCATTTCCGATAAGACGAGGAGTTTCAGTTTTATTAACTACACATTGTGGTAGATTTTCTGCCTCTGAAGTGAAATATAGTGAATAACACCCACAATGTCACATGGTGTGGACTGGTGAAAGCATGATCTTGCCGCAGGATATTTTTGTGTATACGGTCATAAGCCACAAAAGTTTTTCGTGAAATAAAATGTAAAAATAACACTGACTCCTGTCCTTATTAAATGAGACTAAATGTGTGTGAAAGGTTTTTTTGTGCATAGCCTACTGTAGTATATCACAGCACACATCTGTGTTTACTTTGCACCAAGGTCTAGTCTAGAGGACTGAGCAAATAAACTCCTAATTTTTACAACTCATATTGTTAAAATGATTTTTATTGCTTTAGAATTATTACTTTTAAAAAACTGTTGCCACAAAAATAAAAAGTAAAAGCACTTTTAGTTTATTGCAATTACACGTTTTCTTTCAAATTTCTGTATATTTTATCATTTTCACACAAAAAAATTAATAACCCCAATCATCTTTATAGTGTAGTACAACGGTCTCTAGATCCTCTAATTTGATTGGCTAAGCCGTGTTAGGTGAACAGGATCAAAAAGACTCGACTCACTGAGACGAATCAAAATCCTCTCACATAGCTTTTTTTCTTTCAGAAAATGATTGTCTTCGTAATTTTTTTACTATTTATTTATTTTATTTTATTTCATGACACTTTATAGTCTACAGTTTGTTTGTTTTTTTGTCTAGTTATTCTTCAAAGCAGAGAATCCGCCTGGCAACGATTCAAAATTCGGCACAACAACCTGTCCTCTAATTTCATTGGAAGCGGTATGTAGCCTATTCAAAAGATTCGACTCATTGATTTATCAAATCTCCACAAACTAATGCTTTGAAGTCGGTAAGTCAAAATAAACAGTAGGGGGTCAGAGCACAGAGGAAATGACTAGTCACTAGACCAATCCTGTTATCAGAGCGGTTAGAGGGCGGTGATATGGGCTGATAAAGCGATAATGATTTACTCAGTGCGGTGCACTACTGTGGCAGCCAAAGAATCTGAGGAAAACACAATAACCAACCAAGCATTTTGCTTTACTTTTACGTAACACTAGAGACCGTTTACTGTCGCAGACAAGGACTTCGCTGAAATGCTGTGTGGACGTACAACGACCGTTTTTTATCTACAAAGGATTCAATTTGTAAAACAAGTCTTTTAAATGTTGGAACGAACTAAAGAAAACATGAGTGAATTGAGGAGAAACGCTATAAGGAGGAAGTCTAAGCCGAAGAAGACAGGAGGGTCGGCGGAGGAATGCCCGGAATCCTCAGGTGAGTGCAGCGGTCAGGTGTGACCGGATCCGCTTAAATAATGTTGGGCTTATCCTTCTCATGTCAAACAATACACCAGATACATTGCCAGCCTTCAGGAAAAACTGCTATCTTGTCAGGCATTTGGAAATATTTTCTTCGGTTAGCTTGGAAATAAGGATTAGAAAATGTGATGACACACTTCTGATAGGCCATAGCTAAAACTTTTTTTAATTGATTTTTTAGGTGGGCGATATGACCAAAATGTCATATCAGGAGTAATTGTATTACTGTACTTCTCCTGCTCACTAAAGCTGCGATTATCTATTTACATAATTTATAAATGATAGGCCTATAAAATTTATATAGATTGATACATCACATTATATCGTTGCCACGATATAGGCCTAGTGTATATCGTCTTAATTATCAGCCCTTGACATGTTTTTACCTGCAGAATATGTGTGTATTTGAACCCACAGAATGTGTATTAGTAATATTAATTATTAATAAAATATTTGTAAATATTTTTGATATTCAGATAAATGTTTTACATATACTTTTATTTTTATATATAAAAGTTCATGTAAAACATTTTTCTGAATATATATATATATATATATATAATAGCAAAAACATGTTTGTAAAGTTTCCTGTTGTAGAATGGAGCAATGCTAGATCCATATAAAGGGCCTGAATACTTTGATTAAATATTTATTTTGGGCAAAAATTAATAAATTAAATAAAAAAACCAGCAACAGATCTACTTTTTGAGGTGTCTTTTTAGTTCTTAGTTAGTTTTAATATAAAACCAGTTCATACAATCTTTTCGTGCTCAAATTCATGATCGTAGTTTGCCTTAATCTCTGACAGCACACAAGAGATTTGGGAAAGTGCATTGGAATAAATGCCAGACTCCATTTTCTTCTTTGGATGAAAGCCCTGTTTGTACTGTAAGCTCAGGATATGAGAGTGAACATGTCCCAACGGGTTGCATTATAGTGTTTGCATTGCAATAGTGAGATGTCTCATCTCTGACGATATGAACCAGCATGCATAATTCTGTAGCTTAAGGTCAGGGAATGTGCAAGAACTGGATTGAGCCAGTCTGTGTTTATAGGAATAACAGCCTACTGTCAAGAATACTCTGCATGGCACAGTATACAGACATGTATAGAAGTCAATTGGTGCCATAGAGTCAAGTGTGAATGTGACTGGATAATTGCCAATGCATCATTTGCCTTTCAACAAAAGCAAAACATTGTGTTCCTTTGGATATTGTTGCATATGAATTCAATTTTAAGTTCCTATTTTAATTTATATAGGTCAGGCAAAAAGTGATTTGATTATCTCTATAATACAGTGTTTATTCTTAAGGCCGGCTATTCACTATTGTCAGTTCAGAGAACTCTTGGTACTGTATCTTATTGAAGAGGCTGCAGTGGGTGACCCAGTCTCATTTATTTATCTGGTGAAGATCCACTTTCTGTGCTTGTTATCTTTACTGTTCAGTAAATCACAGTAAAGGGAGCTCACAGTGCACATTGTTGTTGATGTCTTTGGGAGTTGAATAGTTAGAAGTTGGATCTTTGCTGATTCACATTGCTCTTAGGAGTAATTTGTTTAGTTAATTAGCTTCCAACATGTGAAACTATGCAAAAATACTAATTGAAATGCAATATCTCCAACATTACCAAACAATTCTGTACAATTTATAGTAGAATTATAATATATTAGAGACGATCAGGGGGTGTATATACGTGTATCTTACCACTAAAAGTTATCCTAAATAGCTCTAAAAGTTCTTAGACATTTACATTTTTACATTTACATTTAAGCTTACAAATGAGGAGGGCAATATAAGCAAATTCAAACCAACAATAGGGCAACAATATGCAAGTGCTGTGATTAGTCCCAGTTCTGTCATGACAACTCTCTGGAGATTGGTATGGTAATAGAGATTGGCATGGTAATAGATATGGCAATGTTAATGTTGGCCTTGGCGGAATAGATCTGCTACGCTGCTGCTGCTGTAGAGCAAGTACCGAGACTTGCTGCTGCCAATACATTCACAGACATTGCTGTGATATTGTAAGACATGCTGCTGCGGACATACTGTATGACATATATATACGCACATGTAACATAGGATTTAACCCCTGTAGCAGATCTATAATGGTGGAGCTGGGGAAGGTGGAGGGTTTCTTAAAGCGCACTGCATACTGCTACCAGCAACACACCGGCATTTGTTTGAATGTTGAGCCGCAGCTCATTGGATGCTGATGCAACAGCACAACACTGTTTTCAACTAAAAACGGATGACTTTTTATGCGTTTTTTTGGTCATTTATTTACACTACAACGGCATTTTGGGTGTCTGAAAACGCAGACAAAAAAAACGCAAATCTCTGAAGACGATGACGTCATGCACATGTGTATTACGTGTTCAATCTATAGTGTTTCATCGCCATCTAATGGCCTGGCAGCAGAATACACAGCGTTTTTAGCCGTTTCGCGGATTTCGGGGATCGTTTTGACAATGATGTCATCTTTACGCGGAAAACTCAAAGGAAAAACTCCTCAGTTTTAAGCATATCGTTGTCATGTAAACGTACCCAAAGACTCATCAGCCTGCGCTAGAGTTTCATGCCAGAACTAGGTATTATCTCTTGAACAGTACATGTAGCGCTTTTATTTATTTATTTATTTATTTTTATAAATAGATATAGAATAGTAAGTGTTAGTATTAATTAGTCGAGTGTTGACGAAAAAGATGCGTCTTCAGCTGTTTCTTGAAAATGGCTAAAGACTCGAGTTGAGATAGGTCATTCTACCAGCTTGGAACAGTCAAGGTAAAGGTCAGTGAAAATGATTTTGTCCCTCTTTGGGATGGCACCACAAGGCGCCGTTCAATTGCAGAACGCAGGCTTTTCTTCAAGTGGTGTAGTGAGTTTACTTAGTCTCGCGTAGCCAGACCTTCAGACTGACGGCTGAAGGTCTGGAATTTATAGCAGCTTTCTTTGGCCAAGGCCCGCCCATAAGGCCGTTTGACCGACAACATGTCAAACAACCAATTACAGTTCGTTTCGTTCAGCGTCACGTTTCGGGGCGTGGAAATGTCCCCACAACAACAGACCGGCGTGCAACAAGTCAGTCAGCATAGAAAATCAAAGAAGGAGAAGAAAACAAGCAGTATCTGTGTATGTCTATGCATAATAGATAGGAGGGGACACACAACTAGTAAAATTGGATCTGCTGGGACTCCTTCTAAATGCTGACAAAGGGTCGGCCAGGCTTGGAAAATCCCGTCGGCAAACAGGCTAAAATATCTCTTTTTGTCTCCACTAAGTGCCTCAAACAAAACTCCTGGACATTTCTTAAATAGTCTATGCCGTGAACCTCGCATACTTTTGAGAATCCTACGTTTAGCTGATCTTGATAAATGCTCATTGTCACTCATGTAAACACAACAGTTTTTCTTCCGCAATCACACGTCTGCGCTTTGTTTCCCGGCGGACCGAAAATAAACGCGACACTCGCGCCCCCCGGAAATCCGATAAAATTCAACCAATCATATGACGACTTCGACATTCCTGAAGTCTTTCCAGGTAAGTGCAAGGGGGTAATCCATCGACCGGAAGTTGAAGCCGGCCGGGTGCTGCCATGTTGTAGCAGAACTTCACTTGCGTTAGCATTTCCATTGACTCCCATTCATTTTGGCGTCACTTTGACAGCGAATAACTTTACATCTGGGGCGTTTAAAGACTCCATTTGTCCATTATTTATTTCTAAAGAAACACGACAATGTATAAAGGGCTCCATTACCTTCTATGTTACACTATGGCCCCGTAGAAACAGTTTTAGTAAAAATAGGCTAACGATTGCGTCATAAGCACTCTGTCGCGCTGTACAGAAATTACCGTACAGACAGGAGGAGAAGCTCGCAGGCAATCGGGGGGACGTCCCGTCAAGGGAGAAGCCCATAGATAATGAGTCCATAAAAGCAACGGAATACTTACTCCTGCTCACTCACGCCAAAGAACTCTTTGCTCAAGTTCCCCGTCTCTGCAAGATTAACGTTGGCAATTTTCAGGCACAGCTACTAGAAGATTAACGTCTGTCAGACAGCTTGCTCACGTCATCAAGCTTAGTTTGAGTCGGTTTGAGTCTGCGCGTCAGGAACGGAAGTGCTCAAAAATCGCTAAAAATGGGCTTCAACTGAGTTCCAATGAGATGGCTATGTCCACTTCTTATACTGTCTATGGTTAAGTGTACCATATGCATCAGACGTTTAGCCAATGTTCCGTGGGCGTGACGTCTGAGGCTGAGACTAGAGTTTACTAGGTATTGGGGTGCAGAGCAAGTGGTTGTTCTAACACATCAGTGCCTTGAATTTGATGCAAGCGGCAATTGGCAACAAGTGCAATTTTATAAGAAGAGGTGTGAGCATTTTTGGCATGCGCTATCGGCATTTGTTTTGACATGTCAATAGAGAAATCAAAATAATTATCTGAATCAGTCACAAAAGACAATTATCTATGCTCGCACCAGATAATCAAAAATAATAGTGAAGAATATATGTGCTGAAAGAAAGACAGAATAGAGGTGACTGCACATAAACAGGAAAAAGCACAGGGACCCTTAGCTATTTCCTGAAATTTATGCTCTATGTATTTTTTAGAAATGCTTTTCTCTTCAAACTTTTGGGATTTGATTAAACGAGCTAGTTTTTGTTAGTTTCCACTAACACAAGTTGTTGTTAAAGGTAACTATTAACTGTTGGTGGCACTTCACTAAATCCAATGTTTCCTCTGTGACACTGAAGTCAGTGTTTTAGGGGTTTTGGGTCAGACTCAGGTAAGACGGATCTGTTGTCGCAACCTCACCAGAGCCAAAGACTTTTTTGTGAATCGTGTATTCTTAGCAGGGCTGTAGTTTGTGATGTGAGAGATGTGATAGAGAGGGGCTATAAATAACTCATGGACTTATGTAACTTATACACACCCTTCATTATCCTCCAGT